GATAGATAGATAGATAGATAGATAGATAGATAGATAGATAGATAGATGGATAGACAGACACATACATACTCACTACATACATAAATGTTGTGTGATACAGTGGAAAACTGGACTGAAAACAAGGAGGTGTGGCCGTGTCGCTAGCTTGCTGGGTTATTTTGAACATACCATGGAACTTCTCTGGGACTAGAGTTTTCTACAAATTAAGTAAATGTTTCCTAATGGCCCTTCTAACTCAAATCTTAGGCAACTGCATTTTCTAAATTTATGCCATAAAACTAATTTTAAACTTGTGTTTTCCTCCTTTGTATATTCTTCTCATAACATCAAGTCATGATGTTTCCTAAAGATTCCCATGTTTGGAACAGGTTTTGCCTGCACCCAGACACCCTAATATCAATGACACATCACCACCTCCTTCCATAGAGGACCGTCTTTCTTATAATTCACTCCCCTCATTTCTCTCCTGCTTTGTTGCTCTCTTTCCATTTGTCCTCTCCTATAGTTCTTTTTTTCTTTTCCCTTTACTGCTCTGCCACATCATACTTCATTGGCCAAAACTGCCTAATCCCTGTTAAGTGGGGAGACAGACAGGTAGGCTATGCTGTAGCTTTAGGCTGTGGACTTTGAAAAGAGCATTAATCCAAGTTCTGGTGAAATTTCAGAAGTGCTGTTTTCATTAGTTATCACCCAAGTTAGATGCATAGAAAAGCATAAATGATTGTGCAAGTTTGAACTAAATATGTCTATGTTTTCTACACGGAAGTTATGAATGACACTTTAAAAATGCATTTTATCCCATTAGTGCCATCCCCGGTGAAAGATATTGGTATTTCAGCGAAAACGAATTCTCTCCTGATTTCCTGGTCCCATGGCTCTGGGAATGTGGAAAGATACCAGCTGATGCTAATGGATAAAGGGGTCCTAGTTCATGACACTGTCGTGGACAAATATACTACTTCTTACACTTTTCACGGACTGACGCCTGGCCACCCCTATAACCTCACCATTGTAACCGAGGCTGCAGGGCTGCGGAACAGCAAGTGGAAACCAGCCAGGACAAGTAAGTGCCCTAGCTAGCTGGACAAGAAATCAAGGAAATGTTTAATTAACGAGGCTTATTAATTATTTGAATAATGATAACATAGAACAAGTTGAAATCCATACGTTACAGAAGGCCCTTCATATGTATCCATTTTTCTACTTAGAAAAAGACGGGATCCTTTTGTTCTTGGCAATATTCTGAAGTGGCAAAGTTAATTACTGATAGAGTCTCAGCTTCTCATTCCCGTGTACCGGTCCCCTTCTCTTAAACGGGATTCCACTGCCCTTGTGCTGTCACTCACCATGAATAGGACACTGCTCTCAGTGCTATGCGAAGATCTACTCTTGTGAAACAGCCATTTCCCCAAAGCCCCATCGAACAAAATGTGTCCTGAGACCTAGAACTTCAGGGCCTGTCCTCACAGCCTAATATAGCCTGATAAACCAATCTGTGCTGTTTTGATGAATAATTCAGATACACACTAATTCATTCACTCACTGTTTATTGGGTATAAACTATATGTTAGGCATTGAGGATATAACAACACCCAAGAGAGACAAAGTCTTTGCCCTCATGGAACTTACATTTTAGTAGATTCTAATGCTTTTGGTGGATCTAATGTGTTAACAAATCCCCTCTCTTGGAAAATTATCTAATTTTAGCAGAAACTCTGAAATATGTAGTACTTTAAAAATTACTGTGGTGATGAGAATTTCTGAAACTTTAGGAGGCTTGTGGGAATGATACTTAGGATACCTACACATTTACATACACCTTTCACTTCCCATCTCAAAGATGTATAGACATTTCCAACAAAAATGTACCGTATATCTTAAAAATTATTTATGTATCTCAAGAGCACATACTTCTTCTAACTGGCCTATGGGAAATCAGTGTGCTATGCCCACTTTTAATGAAGTGTTGCTTATTATGCCATTAGTGAGGCCCAAAATTACAGCATGAGCAAGAAGTAGAAAATAGTCACCAAAATATCTCTCCTTTGTGATCATTTTCTACTGATGAAATAATGACATGACTCTTTTTGTTTTGAGGAGGAACAAGGTAAAATTTTAATTTCAGGATTAGCGAGTCGTTAACACAGAACTTAAGCTTTAATTTTATCTTATCATGCTTTAAAATGAAAAATAAAGTCTTTTTAGCACACAATATTTTGCAATAGCCAATCAGTTGGCCAATCTATTATGTACTTGCTGTTATTAGATACATAAAGAGGGGAAGAAATTAGACAGATGACAGACTTGCTGGAACATTTCACTTGCAGAATTTTGACCAAGCCCTCATTTGCCAATAGGATCCCTAGGCTCAGTGAGATGGGCAGAGCTGCCCAGGGTTGCAGACCAGCTTGACTCAGTCTGAGCCAGAGTTCAAGTTCCTACAGCCACATTTGTGCTCTTTCCACTAGCCAGATAACCTCTCTTCAGTTTTGCAATATTGTTTTTGCCTCATGAAGTTGTCATTTTCTTCTGTGCAGGGAGTGTGGCTTGTCAGGATTAAAATTCAGGTCAAAATCTGGCCACAAGACTGGTAAAATATCCCAAGTTAAAAGTCTCTCTTCCTTTCTTCCTGATTAGCCCCCATGGAAGTCTCAAATCTGAAGGTGACAAATGATGGCACTTTGACCTTTCTAAAAGTCAAGTGGCAAAGACCTCCTGGAAATGTGGACTTCTACAACATTACCCTGTCTTACCAAGGGACTGTCAAAGAATCCAGAATATTAGCACCCCAGGTTACAGAAACCCAATTTAAAGGCTTAACCCCTGGACGACTTTATCAAGTTACCATCAGCTGTGTCTCTGGTGAATTGTCTGCTCAGAAGATTGCAGTGGGCAGGACAGGTAAGTATGGACTCCAGAATATTCCTTGGTTGACCAAATCAGTCTCTGAGCCATCTTAGAAGAAGACAAAATAAGTTAGAAGGAAAACACATTTCCCAACCTGAAAAATATGGTCTACATGACTGAGGGTGTCTGTGGGCCAGGGCACCACATACAAAGTAAAGCAGAGCATTAAATGCATTTATCTGAGTTATTGAAGCAAATGTGTTTGGATTGATTCCTGCTTAATTTACATAACTGGCTCTGTCCTGTGCTATTTCACATCACACCACTTAAGTAGCAAAAATGCATTAGCATTGATACTAATAAATGAAATATTTCTGATCAGCTCTTATAATAAGGGCTCGTTAGCACTTAACTATGTTTTTTACTAAATTATTTTATTAATTAAGTCATTTATCTAGTGCCTTCTATGTGTAAATTATTGTAGTGTGAGCTTTTGGATTTGTTAAAATGGCAGGGTTCAACCAACTACACCCTTCAGCCAAATACAGCCTGTGACCTGTTTTTGTATAGCCCCATGCTAAGAGTGGTTGTTATATTTCCTAAGGGTTTAAAAAAACAGAACAATATGAGACAAAGACCATAATGGTCCGCAAAGCCTGAAATATTTACTTGCTGACCTTTGCTTTAAGGAAGTTATGTTTTAATCACACAAATATAGAACATACACACACAAAATAAAAATACTACAGTACATTTTAGTAATGGTAACTGTATTGATATTCCCATGTATTAGGCACTGACTAAGTACTTTACAGTATCTTTTCATTTAGTTTGCACAACAAAACCAGGAGAAAGATCCTATTACTATCGCTGTTTTACTGATAAATAACTTGTTGATAGTTATCTAGCCAGTAAATAGTGTGGCTGGAGCTGAAATCAGGCTGTCTGATTCAAGAGTCCATCCTCTGTGCTATTAGAGATCCCAAGTAAGAGTCATATGGTCAGAAAGATAAGAGAACAGCACTTCTTTCAGAAAACCAATAAAGACTTCTTGAAGAGAAAAGAGGGAAGGGGGTTTGAGGTGGAAGGAATGACATAAGCAAAGGCAGAAGAGCTCAGGAGACTTACAGGCCTACAGAGCAAGCACCTGGAGGCCAGCACTGGGGAGAGTGGGAAAGGAGGGAGGGCGGCTGCGGGAGTCATCAGAGGTAAGACTGGAAGGATACGGGAGCTTGTTGTGGAGAACTACAAATGCCACACCAAAGACTCCATGATTTATTCTGTAGTTAATAGAGAAACCTTGAGTGTTTTCGAACTATGTTGCAAGATTAGTCTTTTCAATTGGAAAAGAAAAAGGAATGTTTTATGACCACAACATGNCTGTAGTTAATAGAGAAACCTTGAGTGTTTTCGAACTATGTTGCAAGATTGGTCTTTTCAATTGGAAAAGAAAAAGGAATGTGTTTTATGACCACAACATGCAGTCTCTTCCAAAAAATGCCACATCTATCAATGTCACCGTTGTTAGATGCAACATCAATATTGTCTTTAGAGCTGGTGTGAAACCAGTAAATCACAGCACTCAAATCACTAGGTTATTAATTAACAACGTTACAGAAGATCGCATTACCGATATATGACTAAGGTGAATTGGGCATATGTTTCTTGATTGTCAAATGTTTCCAAAGTGAGGAAAGAACACTCATTTGCAATCCGTGAATATCAGGTGGGGATAGAAATGTTTTGAATTGCAGACACTAGGTCTCTTATCTACTGTTGCCCATGAAGAGTGAATGAGTATTTTTGGTTTCTAGTATCTCCTTTTTGACGACATTTCACCATTTAGTTCCAGAGAAAGTTGGGAATCTGGAGGCCAACAGCAATGGCTCGCTGAGGTCCCTCGTGGTGAGCTGGTCGCCCCCTGCTGGAGACTGGGAGCAGTACCGTATACTGCTCTTCAATGATTCTTCCCTGCTGCTCAACATCACTGTGGGAAAGGAGGAAACGCACTATGTCATAGATGACATGGGACTCATACCGGGAAGACAGTACGAGGTAGAAATCATTGTGGAGAGTGGAAATCTAAAGAACTCTAAGCGCTGCCAAGGCAGGACAGGTAAGCTAACTATCAGCGTGTTAATGACTGATGGAATCTTCATTTGGTCCCTTTACCAAGTAACCCAGGTAACTGTCGATGCCGTTTTCTGAATTTTAGACATTATATACTTGCAGACTGAAACATGGCTAGTATGTTAAATTTCGTCAAATAAGAATATTAGAAATCACTTCCACTAGGAACACCATTATTTTATACAGTCACGAGCCACATAACGACATTTCGGGCAATGGAGGAGAGCATATGTGGCAGTGGTCTCATAAGCTTGTAATGGAGCTAAAAATTCCTATGACCTAGCGATGTCATAGACGTCGTAACATCATAGCTCAATGCATTACTCACGTGTTTGTGGTGATGCTGGTGTAAACAAACCTGCTCTGCTAATCATGTAAAAATATAGTATATACAGTTATATGTGGTATATACTGTTTGATAATAATGAAAGACTATGTTATTGATTTGCATATTTACTATACTATGCTTTTATCATTATTTTAGAGTGTACTCTTTCTACTTATTAAAAAAAATTTGCTGTAAAACAGTATGTCGTGTTACACCAGAAGCAGCCTCAAACATCTCACCTGCTGCATCATTTGTTTTGTGCTTAATTTAATCTCATGTTGTTTTGTTCATCCTGACTCCTAAGTGTATGAAATCCACTGCTCATGTTGCCACTAAGAGGCCACATTGAGAGATTGACCTGGAAATGAGATTAAAAGTGATTAGGGACTGCAGAAGTGGAAACTCAGTGATGATTATTGCTCACCAGTCAGCTTGTCCCTCCACTACGATCTTGAGGAATAAGAACAAGGTGGTGGAAGCTGTTAAAAGATCTGCCTCATTGAAGGAAACAAGACCAACAAAAATTTGAGAAGAGCCTATATCATATATGGAATAACTTCTAATGACCTGGATTGAAGACCAGACACAAAACCTCTCTCAGCACCAGGATGCTTACAGCCAAAGCAAAACATTCATTTGTGATGTTGGAAAAAAAGACTGGACCTGACTATAATGATGAATTTACTGCCGGCTCTGGGTGGTTTATAGGATTCAAGAATCGTTATTCATTACATCATGTGAACGTGGGTAGTAAGTCTTCGAATGCTGATGCGAAGGTAGAAGAATCTTTGGAATAAGCTAATTGTGGAGGAAAATCACTTGCCATACCAAATAGTCAATACAAATGAAACCTTCCTATTTTGGAAACAGATGCCTAAAAGGACTTTCATCCATAAGGAGGCCAAGTCAAAGCCAGGTTTAAAGGCTTTTAAGAACTGTTATTCTTCCTTGGGGACAATGTGGCAGGCTACAAATTGAAACCTTTTGTGATCTGACACAGTGAGAAGCAGAGGGCCTTCAAGTTTATCAGTGAGCACACACTGACAGTGTACATCAGGAGCAACAAGAAGTCATGGGTGACCCCGCGACTCTTCCAGGATGCCCTCCTGAATTGGTGTGTTTAAAGAATAACATACCTTTCAAGCTTTTGCTTATTTGTGATAATGCTCCTGGATATCCTCCTTTGATCTGTGATCTTCTCAATATCAAAGTGGTGTTTCTCCCTCCCAACACCACCTCTTTGATCCAACCAATGGATCAAGGAGTTATAGGAGCTTTTAAGGCCCTGGGGAGGATTTTTGCCCATGCTATTGCTGTAGCTGAGGAACACACTTAGAAAACACTGATGCAATTCTGGAAGGATTACAACATCTGTGACTTCATCAAGCACCTTGCTTCGGCTTGGTGTAATATCACCAAGGAGTGTATGAATGGCATCCGGAAGAAGACAAGAAGTTTGTCCATGGCCTTAGAGGATTTGCTTAAGGATGAAGAGTGTGCAAAAATCAACAAAGCTGTGTTTGAGATGACAAACAACTTTAACCTGGGTGTTGATGAGGATGGCACTGAGCTCCTAGAGGTGCTTCCTGAGGAATTGACTAATGAGGAATTATTGGAACTGGAACCAGGAACTCATAGATGATGAAGAGGCAAAAAAAAAAAAAAAAAAAAAGAAATTGCAGGAGAAGAAAAAGAACCCCCAAGAAAATTCACAGTGAAGGGCTTAACAGAATCTTTGCTGACCTCAACAAGCTCCTTAAAAAGTTTGAAAGTATGGACCCAACATCGAAAGGTTTTCATTAATAGGGAGGAATGTCCATGGTACATTATCTGTTTGAAAGCAAATTTGTGATGAAAAGAAATAAACCAAGCAAATCAGCACGTACATACTGATGAAAAGAGGGAAACTTCTTCAGTTATCCCTCATGCCAGGTCCTCCAGGNAAAAAAAAAAAAAAAAAAAAAAAAACAAAAAAAAAAAAAAGAGAAAAAAAAAAAAAAAAAAAAAAAAGGAAATTGCAGGAGAAGAAAAAGAACCCCCAAGAAAATTCACAGTGAAGGGCTTAACAGAATCTTTGCTGACCTCAACAAGCTCCTTAAAAAGTTTGAAAGTATGGACCCAACATCGAAAGGTTTTCATTAATAGGGAGGAATGTCCATGGTACATTATCTGTTTGAAAGCAAATTTGTGATGAAAAGAAATAAACCAAGCAAATCAGCACGTACATACTGATGAAAAGAGGGAAACTTCTTCAGTTATCCCTCATGCCAGGTCCTCCAGGAGGTATTCTAGAAGAAGGCATTGCTATCATAGGAGATGACAGAAAATGTCTTGGATGCAAAATTCACAGTATACTTTTGCACAATTGATTCTTCCATAATTTTGTTTCCCTCTTGTTTTATGGATCAACATTTTACTCTTAACAATGTCTCCTAGAAGTTTTAATAATACATCCTTTTCAAGAAATGGAAGAAATGTTAATTCTTTGGATAACGGGAGCCTTTAATCAGATACTGTTATTAGTTACCAGCTATACTATTATTACTCTCCTTTTCAGGGACACATCAGTGTTCCCTCCTTAGAAATGAAGGAAAAAATCACTTTGTCTTTCTAAGCTATGGAGGCAACAAATACTCCTAACGCTTCCCAAAGTCCTCAAACACAGATCTTTCTCTGTGGTTTTGTGGATGACAAGATCGAATTAAATATTTTCGTATCATAGAGCTCATATGAAGACATAAGCACTCATAAAGTATCATGTGGCCAAAAATAAAAGACCAGTAAAGTATTTTTTCCATAGTATTATTTTGAATCCTTATTTCTGCTTATGTTATATAAATAAATATTTTGTAATGAGCTTTTACTTTTTCTTAATGTTCATAAGCATTCAGAAAAGAAATGCTGAATTGGAATACTCTTGTGGATGGAAGAGAACAGCTCTCTAAAGAATACATGAGTGTTTCTGAGTCAGTCAGTGACCCAGGTCTCCACTGCTTTTTCCTCAGTCCCCCTGGCTGTCCTCCAGCTTCGTGTCAAACATGCCAACGAAACCTCACTGGGCATCATGTGGCAGACCCCTGTTGCAGAATGGGAGAAATACACCATTTCACTAGCAGACAGAGACCTCTTGCTCATCCACAAGTCACTCCCCAAAGATGCCAAAGAGTTCACTTTTACTGACCTGGTGCCTGGACGAAAATACATAGCTACTGTGACCAGTATTAGTGGACACTTAAAAAATTCATCTTCAACAAAAGGAAGAACAGGTAATATTCTTTATAAACTTTAGGTTTTAAAAGTATCCTGTGTGCAGAATTGTTTAGCACTCAACTTATAAATGTTCACTAAATTCCAATTATTTACTGGGCATTGATTTATGGATCCTTTAGTTGTTTGGTTTTTATTTTTACTAATTTCAGCCCTGTCTTTAATAGTTCCGTGTTTTGTTTTACTTTGAGTTTATTTTGCTAAAATTAAAACAGAGCAGTAAACAACCTTTCCAAGGAGTTTTGCTGCAAAGGAGAGCAGAGAAATAGGGCAGCATCTGAAAGAGAAAGTATGTTTGGAAGGAGGATTATTTTTAATGATAGAAAAAAATAACAACACATTTTATGCTGATGGGAATGTTTTAGAAGAAAGAGGACTGGTGATGCTATACAGAGAGAGGGAAGAATTGCTGATATTGGTCTATGAATAAGCAAGAAGTATTGGGATCTAGAGCGCAAATGAAAGAATTGGCTTTGGAAAGGAGCATGAGTAGTATAACTTTAGAATTAGCTGGGAGAAAGAGTGCAGATACAGCAAATAGATAGATGTAGTGGTGGGCAGTAATCTTTTGATAACTCTCATTTTCTAAGTGAAATAGGAAGCAAGGTCATCATCAAAGGCTCCCCTTTCTAATTTATGTATTATTGTTGTCCTGTATTTTATTTCTCTCTTCTTTTTTAACACCACAAAAATATAATTATTGTTTTATACAGTTAATGTATCCTTGGATTGACCCACCAGTTTACTACTTTTTTACCTCATCTTTTCTTTCCATATCTCAGACATTCCATCTTGTTTTATGTTTCTTCGTCTTAGAGAACATTCTTCAAATTTCTGTACTGAGATGTTTAGGGACAAACTCTCTGCACTTTTGTTTTTCTGGGTATATAGCTCTCAACCTTGAAAGACATTTTCCCTGGGTTATAATTTTGTTGAAAGTTACTTTCTCTCAGCACATTGATGATATTATTCGAATCCTTCTGGAATTTATTGTTGATGTTGAAAAGTCAGCTGTCGACCTAATTTTTATTTCTCTATGAGTAATCTGTTTCCTATGATTGCTTTTAAGATCTACTCTTTGCCTTTGTCGTTCTGCTGTTTGATCTGAGTACAGACTTCTTTTTGTTTATCCTGCTTGAGAATATTGGGATTTCTGTATTTGCAGATTAGTATCTTTCATCAATCCTGAAAATTCTCATCCATTAACACTCTAATATTGCCTCTTGCCTCTTTCCCATTCCCTCTCTGTTCTCCTACTGGTATTCTAGAATATTATATATATAATATTTTTCACATACTTGCTCTCTGAGCTATAGTCTGGATAATTTCCTCAGTTCTTTGTTTGAGTTCATTAATTCTTTCTTTGGTTCTGTCTAAACTCTTTTTAAATTTGCCTATTGAGCTTTAATAATTGGTATATTTTTCACTTTTAAACATTCTCTTTGATTCCCTTTAGTCATATTTCCATTCTCTTCCTTTATTGTCATAAGCATATTAACAGTTTTTATTTTACATTTTATATCTGATAATTATCTGAAGTCTTCAGAAGTGCAATTCTGTTGCCTATTGAGTTTGTTTCGTTTTGCTCATGGTGCTTTATTTCCTTAAATGTTTGTGATTTGTTTTACTGTAAACTCATATACCTTGGGATATTCTGTGGGAATTCTTTGAGGCCTTGTTTGAAAGTGGGTTTCAAAGGGAACTTTCTTTTCATTTGATTCTTTTAGATACACAGGGCTACTATCAACCCAGACCTATTTTAATCTAAATTGTCACCTTGAGGTTTTTTCATCATCCATGTTTTTTTTGTTTTTTGTTTTTTTTAAAATGTATTTTTATTAATTTCAGAGAGAGGAAAGGAGGGGGAGAGAGAGAGATAGAAACATCAATGATGAGAAAGTCATTGATCGGCTGCCTAGCCCGCAAACCGGGCATGTGCCCTGACCAGGAATCGAACCCTGATCTCCTGGATCCTAGGTCGATGCTCAACCGCTGAGCCACGCCCGGCCGGGCCATCATCCATGTTTTATGAATTTGAGTTGCAAATTCACTGAAGCTGTCTTGAGGTTATGAATTCTCAGTGGAAATTTTTTCTTTTCCACCCACTGTTAAGGAGGTTGGGGCGATGTGGGGAGTAAAAAGAGAATACTTATTTCACTTACGCTTAGAACGTTTCAGGATTCCAATGTTATGCAGGGCTACTTATGAGGCTCCTCAGCTTAGGAAAGTCCTACACTTTTCCTCCTATTTCGTATATCCTACAAAGCTATAAAATCAGAACTTAAATGTATGTTTAAAAGATGCCTTCAGGATGAAAGTCTGCTTCAGTTATCCAGTTACCTCTCTATCATTTACTTTTAGGTCTCTGAGAATTCCTTGCCTTCTTGACAACTCATTTATGCATTTACATTGATATGTTTTATTCAATACATGTAGTTGTGTTGATTGGGGGGATTTTCGTGGTATGTAGTCCACCATCCTGCGAGAAATGGAAGTACAAAACATTATTTTAGACTTAAGATCATTTTCATTATTCCCACCACTTACAATGCTGGGTCATATGGTAAGTGTATGTTTAACTTTGTAAGAACCTACCAAACTGTTTTCCAACGTGGCTGTAAAATTTTACATCCCCACCAACAATGTATGAGATTTCCAGTTCCTTCATATCCTCAGCAGCACTTGGTATTGCAAGTTTTTTTGTTTTTTAATTTTAGCCATTCTAATAAGTTTGTAGTGGTATCTCATATTTTTAATTTGCCTTTCCCTAATGACTGATGGTTTTGAGCATCTTTTCATGTGCTTATTTGCCATCCATTTATCTTCTTGGGGAAGAAGATATTTTCAAATGTTTTGCCCATGTTTGTTTCTTATTGAATTTTGAGAATTCTTTATTCCTACATATAAGTCCTTGGTCAGAAATGTGTGTTGAAATGTTCTCTCCTAGTCTGTGGTTTGTCTTTTCATTAATTTATTAGTGTATTTTGCCAAACATACATTTTTAATTTTGATGTCCAATCTATCAATTTTTTTCATGGATCATGTTTTTGGTGTCCTATCTAAGAAATTTTTTTTAAGATAAGGTCACAAAGATTTTCTCTCAAAGTTTTTATAGTTTTAAGTTTTAAATTTAAGTGTGTAATTTCTTTTGAGTTAAGTTTTATATGTGTGTGAGATATGGGTCAAGGTTTAATTCTTTGTGTATGGACATCTAATAATTCTAGCCCTATTTGTTAAAAGACTATCCTTTCCCTACTTAATTGCCCTTGAATCTCTGTAAAAAATCAATTGACTATATATGTGTTGGTTTATTTCTGGACTCTCAGTTGTGTCTTATTAATCTATGTGCCTGTCCTTTTGCCAGTATCACACTGTCTTCACTACTGTTGCTTTCTAATAAGTCTTGAAATTAGATCATGTTAGTCCTCCATTCTTGTTCTTCTTTTTCAAAATTGTTTTGACATATTAATTCCTTTGCTTTACACATGAAATTTAGAATTAAAATTCAATCTTCTGATCATGTATAGCAATATTTTTTCCAGCTTTGTTGAGAAATAATTGGCATATAATACTATAAGTTTAAGGCATATAGTGTGATGTATTAATTTACATATATTATGAAGTGATTATCACAATAGGTTCAGCTAACACCCATCTTCTATATAGATACAATAAAATGAAAAATGAAAAAATACATTTTCCTTGTGGTGAAACCTCATAGAATTTACTCTCAACAGATTTCCTGTGCATTATATAGCAGTGTTTGCTATAGTCATAATGTTGAACATTGCTTCCCTAGTACATATTTATCTTATAACTGGAAATTTGTACCTTTTGACCATCTTTGTCCAAAATAATACTGTTTAATGAATATGTTTGTATCTGAATCCAAAAGTCAACCGATTCCTAGAAGAGGTGTGCCAAGGTGGGTCCCTTTGATTATTATAATGCAGGGAAAAGGCACAGAGATGTATGTTAATCAAGTGCCAACTTCAAGATTTGTGTAAAAGATTTGTCAATGGATAGATTAAAAATCACAGTAGTTACTAATTAGGAAAAGGGCTCAGGCTCATGGGTTAGACAGATCAGGCTTTGAACCCCAAGTTAACTATCTGTTAGCACTGTAATATAGGCTATTACTTGTATTTTATGATCTTTGGTTTTCTCAGTAAAGGGAATAAGAAAATGAACTTTATAGAGTTTTGAATGAGTATCAAATAATATAACCTCTATAATGCATAGAGCCTATAACTGGCATAAAATAGGCACTCAGTAGTTACTATTATTATTATTATATGATATAATTTGTATTATTGTAACATTTTCACATCTAATAATAACAGTCCTCTTGAGAATGTGCCAGTAAAGAATTAACCAGTTTTCTAGACTACAACCTAATCATCAGGTTGAAGGGATTTCCCAATACCAGCCATGACAACCATCAGCTCAGGTAGATGATGTGGCTTTGAGTTCTCATTGGGTAAGGACAGATAAAATGACATTAAATAAGCAATCTTCAAAAATAACAGCCTTTCGTTACTGAAAATTTTAAATCAAAACTGTTTAATAGGCATGCCTCATCTCATCCTTGGATCCCAAATAATTTTGATTTCCCATATAGACAGCTTTTTCATAATAGTAGAGTCTCTGTGGGGGAGTAGTTTGCCATATGCCACAGGAAATAGAGCTGAGAGTTTATAGGAAATATATATATGTGTGTGTGTGTGTGTATATATATAGCATCTTCAAGACTGTCTCCATTTTTTACTTATTTCTATTATACTTCCTTAGGGTGACTAAGTGTCATCTGTTTTTTCTTCTGTCTACTGTGTTTCAGTGCCTGCCCAAGTGACTGGCTTGCATGTGGCCAACCAAGGGACAACCAGCAGCCTGTTTACTAACTGGACCCAGGCAGTGGGAGACATAGAGTTCTACCAAGTCTTACTCATCCATGAAAATGTAGTCATCAAAAATGAAAGTGTCTCCAGTGAGACCAGCACATACAGCTTCCACTCCCTCAAATCAGGCAGTCTCTACTCTGTGGTGGTAACAACAGTAAGCGGAGGGATCTCCTCCCGACAAGTGGTGGTGGAAGGAAGGACAGGTAAGAAGAGTACATGGGACCTCCAGAGTTCTGTTTTTAAAACATTCTATAAATAGGTTAATCTCTGATCTTCCCAAAAGCCAAGTTCCAGTATCTTCCAGAAGGTACATGTTCTCCCAAGAATGGAAATTGAGGGGTAGGGGTGGGGGTGGGGGTGGAGGTGAGAATAGGAGACAATGAATTCTGAATTTTCTAAAATCTCCAATAAGTGTGACAGAACTCTTAAAAAAACCTTTGTGATGACATGATAGTCATTTGATGCCATATCTCATCCATTATACATGATGAATTGATACTGACAATTATATGAAAATATTTAGCTTAAGTTAATCAACTAATAACGAAAACAGTAGTGCAGCTTGCATATACTATAGGATTTTATTCTGATAGTCACTACGGGTGGTACTATTTAAGTGCACTTATTTCTGATACATGATACAACTATTACTCAATACCACAATGATTAATTTGCAAACTAGTGCTATCCAGGTTGCCCTTTAAAGGCATCCACATCTTTTCCATTTTGTATAGTTGGCAAATCGTAGGCTCTCAGTGAATGTCATGGCACTAAAACTCAATTAAAATAAGCCAATGATCATTGTTGACATCAGAAAGGCCATTCTTGCCACAGCGCTCCAGACTTGTTGCTTCCAGGCTAGGATATTATGTTAATGTTTTTGCCACTAGAGGGCAGGGAATGCTTTGCAAAGAGAAAAAAACACACCTCTAGTTGTGTCCGTTATTAGACTCCCCAGGAGTAAATAACCTCATGACAAGAAGATCAAAGCAATCAACCAGTCTAAGCTTTTTGGAAAAACTATTGCATTCTTTACCATGTCCCTCAAACATCTTTATTGATGAGTTTGGTTCAGACCCATTCATTTGAAATGTTTGCTTCCTTTCCTACATAGGGAACTTCCTGGCACATTTACATAAAAATGCCTCCTCTTAAAATACTTTATGAACAGCCACACCATAAAAATGCAGTAGGGGCACCCTTGTGTTTATGAGGCATCCAAAAAGCCTCCTTGCATTTTTTATTTGGTTCACCTTCTGATGTGAGATCACTCAGCCTCCAGAGCATTTTCTTGACCTCTTAGGTAATGAGATTTGATCTCCCGGGTCCACACTGCTTTTGCTGATCACGATAAATGACTCAAACTTTTGATTGTGCTTTTCTTTTAAAAATGTAATATGTGAAACCATAAAAATCCTAGAAGAAAACATAGACAGCAAAATCTCAGACATGTCTATAGCAGTATGTTTGCCGATACATCTCCTAGGGCAAGAGAAACAAAGGAGAAAATAAACAAATGGGACTACATCAAAATAAAAAGCTTCTGCACAGCAAAAGAAACCATTAGCAAAACAAAGAGAGCCCACTGTATGGGAGAACATATTTGCCAATAACACATCTGATAAAGGGTTAATATCCAAAATATATAAGGAACTCACACAACTTAACAAAAGGAAGACAATCCAATTAAAAAATGGGCAAAAGACTTAAATATATACTTTTCCAAAGAAGACAAACAGATGACCAAGAGACGTATGAAAAAATGCTTAAATCACTAATCATCAGAGAGATGCAAATTAAAACCACAATGAGGTATCACTTCACACCTGTCAGAATGGCTCCATCAACAAATCAACAAATGACAGGTGCTGGCGAGGGTGTGGAGAAAGGGGAGCCCTGGTGCACTGCTGGTGGGAATGCAGACTGGGGCAGCCACTGTGGAAAGCAGTATGGAGATTCCTCAAAAAATTAAATATGGAGCTGCCTTTTGACCCAATGATCTCACTTCTGGGAACTAGAAATATGAATCAGAAAGAACCCCTATGTTCATAGCAGCGCAATTTACAATAGCCAACACCTGGAAACAGCCCAAGTGCCCATCAGGAGATGAGTGGATAAAAGAACTGTGGTACATTTACATGATGGAGTACTGTGCAGCTGTAAAAAAGAAGGATCTCTTACCCTTTGGGACAGTATGGATGGACCTGGAGAGTATTATGCTAAGTGATATAAGCCAGTCAGAGAAAGACAAGTACCACATGATCTCACTCATTTGTGGAATGTAATGAATAAAATAAACTGATGAACAAAAATAGATCCAGAGACCTAGAAGCATGGAACAGACTGATGAATCTCAGAAGGAAGGCAGGGGTGGGGGAGTGGGTGGGGAGAGATTAATCAAGGAACTGATGCATAAATGCACAACCCATGGACACAGACAATAGTATAGAGTAGGCCTGGGGGTAGAGCAGATGGGTGGAGGGTGTCAATGGGGGGGAAGGGAGATATCTGTAATACTTTCAACAATAAAGATACATTTAAAAATAATAATAAATATTCTCCCCTTTTTAAAATCCTAGTCCCCTCCAGTGTGAGTGGAGTAACAGTGAACAATTCTGGTCGCAATGACTACCTCCGAGTATCTTGGCTGCCAGCTCCTGGAGATGTGGACCACTATGTAGTGACACTGTCTCATGACGGCAAGGTGGTTCAGTCCCTCGTTATCGCCAAGTCCGTCAGCGAGTGCTCCTTCAGCTCCCTCACCCCAGGCCGCCTCTATGATGTGACCATAACTACTAAGAGTGGCAAGTATGAAAACCATGCCTTCAGCCAAGATCGGACAGGTAAGTCTGTAAGGAGGCACAGGCGTGTAAGAGCCAGCTTACTATGTGGCTCAGACAGCTTAGATCTGCAATATTTCTGTAATGCTAAAGTAAAGGCCACTGAGATCACAAAAATTGTTACGGAGTCTTCATATTTTCACCCAAGAAACCCCTTATGTGAGCAAATGTTACCTTCTGAGTAAGAGGAACACCACTTTCATGGCTAGAATTTGTATTGTCTTCAAACATAGTAACAAGTCTTTCTGTGTAGGGTGTACTTTTTGGTTGCTGGACGCTGGCTTTATGAATGTTAACTACCTTAACCCTTAAAAACTCCTTATTGACGTAGTTATTACTATTCCCATTTTATAGATCAGGAAACCAAGGTTCAAGGTTAAGTAACTTGCCCACTGTTTAACCTGTTGAACAGCCAGCACATTTCAAGTCCTAGGCTTATACCTGGAGCCCACTAAGTTCTTCATCCTAAATCCTTTCCAAAATGTCTGTTGGTCAAGACCACTCTTGATTTTTTTTCTCACAAGGTGAAAATGTAAACTTTTATAGTTCGGGCACCAGGAACAAAATCTTAGCAAAGGAAATGAATGCCAAGTCTCTGCTGTGCTGGAAAGAGCTAAATTTAGACAGCCTGAATTTCCCCAATTTCCTTTTTTTTTTTTTTTTTTCCAGAATAGTTTATTGATTTTCAGAGATAGAGGAGGGAGAAGGAGGAAGAGAGACAAACATCGATAAGAGAGTGAAACATTGATGGGCTGCCTCCTGCATGCTCCCTACCAGGGATGGAGCCTGCAACCCAGGCATGTGCCCTGACCGGGAATTGAACCAGCAACCTTTTGGTGCATGGGATGTTGCCCAACCAACTGAGTCACACTGGCCAGGGCCCCAATATGTTTTTGCTTCTTGGGGTTTACATCTGAGATTTCTGCTTAAGGTTAACATTAATATTTTGTCATCTTTCCTACTGAGCTGTGGCTTGTCATTTACATTTTAAAATGTCAGTTTTTCTATGAGGGTCTGGAACAAGTAACATCATATTACCTTGCACAGGGTCTGAACCTAGTAGGCACGCAATAAATGTTTGATGAATCAAAAATCACTTAGATTAGAGGTTTTCACCTGGTGCTCTTTGGATAGACTTTGGGAATGTAGTAATCCTGAAAATTGTCTCTGAAGTTGTTGGGGATAGGGCAGATGTGCACATTTGGGGGCAGGACAGGAGGAGTGCATGGTTTCCATCAAATTCTCATAGTTTCTGTGACCTCAAAAAGGTTTAAGAACCACTGATTTACATTGTTACATCACGCTAGCATTGAAAGTGTTCATAGAATAGTCTAATCCCATCTCATTTAGAGATAAAGTCCCAGAGAGAAACTGGCTTCTCCTTGGTCACATGGCTGACCAGTAGGCAAGTTCAACCTGCCTCCAGCGCTATTTCCATTACATCTTGCTGTCCTTGAAAACATGAGTCAGGGATATAGAGATATTCTTTCCCCTGAAATGATTTAAAGTCTAAATATACTTATAATCGCAATAATGACTAAAATCTGAAAAGCTGATTTCCATTTACAAAGCAGCTTTAAGTCAGTGTCTTATGTTGATCAACTTAGAGCCTAAAAAGCACCAAAAATTAAAAGTTATGTAACCAACTACTCCTTGCTTCCCCTCAGTGTCAACTCCTGAATGTTTCCCATGCATATGTCCTTCATATTGCAAGACCTTTTGCTAAGATTGTTTTTAAATGCAAGAACAGTGATTCTTTTTTCAAAGCACCCTTTTGACTCCTCAGCAGCGTGAACTTAGATTTGGTGCATAACTGATCAAGGCAAACCATCACCCCTGACAAATCAGTTTAACTGGAGAGTCATGTCTGGGTTACTGTCTTGTTGATTTTGGCTGATTGTCTCAATGCTTTTTTCCTTTTCTAATGTTCTTGTTCTGCATTTCGGGCAAAAATATCAGTATTTCTAATTCTGTATCACATCATCTCAACATGCAGCAAGGCAAGTCTCACAAATTACCTCCACTTCCACCTGGAGAGCGCCTTGTTGACTAGCGCGGTATTCAGCCTGGTGTTTCTTCCTATAATAGTGTCTTTGCCTTCAGTAAACCGCTTGGATCATTGACCTTTCTTAGCCCATGCATACAGCGTCACTTCAGAATTTATTTTCCTTAACTCTGGGATCACTAAATTCTAGCAACACTGTGATTGGTCCCAGGTAAATATCTTGAAAAGAAGCATGCCTGCCCTTGCTCCATATCTGTGGTGGGATTTATTCCAGTACAAACACTAACCAGTACACATAAGCCAACAAAGGATAGTAGTGCAACTTGTAGGTGTGAGAAACATCATGAAAAAATGTAGCTTAGGTGCCAAAATATTGACATTTCTGGGTTATTTCATGCTTTGGAGGCAAGTGGAAGAGAAGACTTGGACACAGCCTGGTCATGTGGCCAAAACAGAAATCCCTGATTTGCCAAACACCACCAGATGCCATACAGACCTGGAAGATGTGCTAGTGTTGGGATACAAGTTTAGTACCCTAGATCTGAGGTCATATCTCTTTCCAATGTTCCTTCTCATATATTTATAATATCCAGTTATAGCCAAATAGTAATGGATCTATGGCTTACTGTTGAATTAAAATACAGCCCCAAATATAAATTAGAATATCCTTAATACTATGTTCTAAATACAGAATTGCCTTAAAGTGTTTCTGTTAACAAGTATTGATTGATTGATCAATTGAGGGGGAAAAAAACCCACAGGTACACAGAATTGTTTGTTTGTTTATATATTTATGGGGGGGCATCTCAGGTGCACAAAATAGGATTAATCATAATTCTTGGTTCTGAAAACCACGCATCAGTGCGTTACTTTTATTTATTTTTAGGCATTTAATTTAATTTAATTTAGACAATAATTTTTAATAATTTAATATGTACCTGAGAAACCACTATCCAAAATAAAAACTAGGAGCTTGATAATAATCTATATCAAATCATGTGGTTCCCACCTCACTAACCCATCCCAAGGTAAACATTTACTTGACTCCAGTTTTCATCTCTTTTCTGTACTTTCTATCTTGCATATTTTATTATTTCTTGTCTTAAAATTATAGGTTTTTAAATTTTTATTTTAACATTACAAAAGTATCTTTTATGAAGTATATAATCTTTTGGGATTTAGATTTTTTTCACTTAATAGTATATTGATAAGAGTCACCCACATTTTGTGTTTTAATATTAAGAAAGAGCAAGAAATCCATATTTTTGTGTTTTGAGTTAAGAAGAAAGTACTTATGACTGCTATATATCAGTTCATTCATCTAATCTCCTGTGAATGGGATTCTCTTTCACACTTACTTTTATCAGGTTTTGAAATTTTGCCAATCAAGTGTATGTAAATTACATTTTGCCATGTCCCTGACTTGCATTTCCTTGATCACCAATGATGTTGGACATCTCTCATGTATTAATTACCAATATGTGTTTCCTCTTCTTCCACTTTTCTTTTGGATTGTTTATACTCTTCTCCATGACTTTTTATCATGTCTTGAATCAGCAAGGTATGCTGAAGTTTCTAATATCATCGCCATCATTCATATTAATCACCAGTTATCACGTTTAATGTTACTTTTTGTACATGACATTTTGTGTAAGCTAACAACAAGATTAGAATTAATTCATCAGGTTCTGTTTAAAAATTCACTTAATCACTCCAACTAGTATAACAATCTTTCCCTTCCAGAAACTTGTGATCTAAAGGTCTGATTTTTCCTTAAAATTCACACAGTAAAAATCTCACTTTCTCTTATGGTCCCGGGTTGTCATCTGTGATCAATTGCTGACAAGAATCATTAATCTTTAGCTGGTCTGTGTTCTCTTTTTCAGTGCCTGACAAGGTCCAGGGAGTCAGTATTAGCAACTCAGCCAGAAGTGACTATTTAAAGGTATCCTGGGTTCATGCCACTGGAGACTTTGATCGCTATGAAGTCACCATTAAAAACAAACACAACTTCATTCAAATGAAAAGCATTCCCAAGTCTGAAAATGAGTGTATATTTGTTAAGCTAGTCCCTGGACGGTTGTACAGTGTCACTGTTAGTACAAAAAGTGGACAATATGAAGCCAGCGAACAAGGGAATGGAAGAACAAGTAAGTGGAAGGATTGCAGAATTTGATGGTCATTTGGAACTTGAAGGTCATCGAGTAAATAATTTATCTGAACCTTGAATTTTCTCTACTTAGTTATCAGTAAATGACATTCCCAGTAAGTCTCACTCGGAGCTAACATCATTTAGCCAAACCATGGCCTATAATTACAGAATATTTATTGAGAGATAAAAGCAAGCATACTTGGCAAGCAAGAAGGCCAAATGTCCCATTTTTCTTCCCTGTCCTCCTGCATTGTGACATTTAAAGTTCTGGACTTTTTGTTTTATCTTATGATTGAGATCATAACTCATTTTACAATTAGATTCTACTAACATTTAGCATATAAGATTTATGTCAGCAAAAAACCCTACAATCTTAACAGTTGCTTTCAATTTTCCTTGTTTAATTATGCATGAAATAATTCAAGTGGTGTATGTGGAGCAGGGAGATGTTTGCCAGTTCCTTGAATGGGACTCATAAATTATTTTGTGGGTAAACTCTGATCAGTCACTTTCCTGAAGTGTCTTCTAATACCCCTCCCTAGTCCCAGAGCCCGTTAAGGATCTAACGTTGTGGAATAGGAGCACCGAAGACCTTCACGTGACTTGGTCACGAGCTGGTGGGGATGTCGACCAGTATGAGATTCAGCTGCTCTTCAATGACGTGAAAGTACTACCTCCGCTACACCTTGTAAATACTGCGACGGAGTATCGATTCGCCTCCTTGATACCAGGGCACCGGTATAAAATCCTCGTGTTGACGATCAGTGGAGACGTGCAGCAGTCGGCCTTCATTGAGGGCTTCACTGGTAATTGGAAATACGGATCTTGGGCCTGACTAGTTAGAGCAGTGTACAGTTGGCCCTTGAACAACACAGGTTTGAACTGCTTGGGTCACTTATATGCAGATTTTTTTCAATATTATATTGGAAAACTTTTTGGTTTTCTTACTACCAATCTTATCTGTTATACTAGGCTACCACAAAACAACCATATTTCTGCTTCTTCATTACCAATGCAGGAATCATTACACCTGTAAATATGAACTTTTTCACATTATTTTTTTTATCTTTGATGTTATACATAGTAGTATGTATAACATCTATAGGGTTTTGTGTCATATAAGACAATATATGTAGGTGCTGACAGACAATTCAGCTTATAAACAGATGACATAAACTTATGGTATTGATAAATACAGTGCAGTACTGTGAAAATATTTTCTTTTCCTTATGATTTTCTTAATAACATTTTTCTCTCTAGTTGTAATAGTATAGTATATAATATATATAACATACAAAATATGAGTTAATCAACTGTTTATGTTATTGGTAAGGCTTCCTGTCAATAGTATGCTACTAGCAGTTAAGCTTTGGGGGGAGTCAAAAGTGCACACTTTCAGCTGCACGGGGGAGGGGGAGGGTCAGTGCCCCTGACCACTGCCTTGTTCAAGGGTCACCTGTATGTAGCAGGTTGGGTAGCCAGGCATTTTGGTTGGGGACTTGGAGGTGTAAAAGGGAGATGGCAAGAGAGGAGAAAGTTGTCTTGATGATGAAAATGATGTTGTCCAACTTGGATGAACAAAAGTAAAGTTTGATGTACGAGAAGAAAAACAAAGCTTTACTGAGAAATACTATTGAATTGATGTGAGTAGCTGGTGCTTGTGAGGCATACAGATTAAGTATAAATATCTCTGTTGGTGGGTATCACTTCTTTGGAACTATTAGTAGTGTTGTTATAATAGTTAATGTTTATGAACCAGACCCCCAGCAGAGCACTTTACATGTACATTCTGTTCAATCCTCACAACTCTGTGGGCTGGTTGCTGTTAATCATGACCATTTTTCTGATGAGGAAACAAACTTACGGAGGTTAAGTAACTTGCCTATAGTCCTACAGCTGGTAAATGAGAACTCCAAGACTTGGACCACAGCCATCTAACTAGCCCCTCGCTCTACTACTGGCTTTGTCTGCTCTTACTCACTGGCCCTGATGTCCCTCTGAACTTCCCCCATTAACCTTAGTTCAGGCAGAAGAGTCAGAGAAAGATGGTAAATTGATACCAATTTTTTCTATGCCTTTGCTTTCAGTAGACACCAGAACATAAGAAGCACAGAAACTTTGGTTGAAATTTCCACAGTTCATTCTCTAAGTGATAACTTTTAAATTTATTTTCTCTTTTAGTTCCTAGTGCTGTCAGAAATGTTCATGTCTCTCCCAATGGAGCAACAGATAGCCTGACGGTGACCTGGACCCCTGGCAGGGGAGATGTTGATTCCTACACAGTGTCGGCATTCAGGCAGAATCAAAAGGTTGAATCTCAGACTATCCCCAAGCACGTGTCTGGGCACACATTCCACAGACTGGAGGCCGGGGAGCAGTACCAGATCGTGATCGCCTCGGTCAGCGGGTCCCTGAGAAACCAGACAGACGTGCTCGGGCGGACGAGTGAGCATCGGCCTGGAGGAGGGCTGGATTGTTTTCCATAATGGGACGATGAATGTGCTTAGCTAGTCACAAGTCACAAATATCCAAATTCAAAGTCACCTAAATTTGTACAACTCAGTGTGGTTTCAAGAGCCTTTCTCATTTTTTTTTTTTTTTTTTTT